TTAGCCCAACTGTACTACACTTATATATAAACGGACGTGTCCTAGCCCAACTGTGCTACAGTTATATATAAACGGACGTGTCCTAGCCCAACTTTACTACAGTTATATATAAACGGACGTGTCCTAGCCCGACTGTGCTACAGTTATATATAAACGGACGTGTCCTAGCCCAACTGTACCACAGTTGTATATAAACGGACGTGTCCTAGCCCAATTGTGCTACAGTTATATATAAACGGACGTGTCCTGGCCCAACTGTACTACAGTTATATATAAACGGACGTGTCCTAGCCGAACTGTACTACAGTTATATATAAACGGACGTGTCCTAGCCGAACTGTACTACAGTTATATATATAAACGGACGTGTCCTAGCCCAACTGTACCACAGTTGTATATAAACGGACGGGTCCTAGCCCAATTGTGCTACAGTTATATATAAACGGACGTGCCCTGGCCCAACTGTACTACAATTATATATAAACGGACGTGTCCTAGCCGAACTGTACTACAGTTATATATATAAACGGACGTGTCCTAGCCCAACTGTGCTACAGTTGTGCTACAGGGATATCCAAACGGACGCGTCCTAGCCCAACTGTACTACAGTTATATATAAACGGACGTGTCCTAGCCGAACTGTACTACAGTTATATATAACGGACGCGTCCTTGGCCCAACTGTGCTACAGTTATATATAAACGGACGTGTCCTGGCCCAACTGTACTACAGTTATATATAAACGGACGTTTCCTGGCCCAACTGTACTACAATTATATATAAACGGACGTGTCCTGACCCAACTTTTCTACAGTTATATATAAACGGACGTGTTCTGGCCCAACTGTACTACAGTTATATATAAACGGACGTGTCCTAGCCCGACTGTGCTACAGTTATATATAAACGGACGTGTCCTAGCCCAACTGTACTACAGTTATATATAAACGGACGTGTCCTAGCCCGACTGTGCTACAGTTATATATAAACGGACGTGTCCTAGCCCAACTGTACTACAGTTATATATAAACGGACGTGTCCTGGCCCAACTGTACTACAGTTATATATAAACGGACGTGTCCTTGCCCAACTGTGCTAGTTATATCCAAACGGAAGTTAAGGGGAGGATAGGAAAAAACACATCGCAATGGGACAGGGATCCTTAAGATTTTTTCCTTTCCATCGACACTCCTTTAAATTTTGTTTTGACTAACTTTGCCCAGTGAAGTGAAAGAGGAGCCAAACTACTACAATCTTGTTTTATAATCTGCCAAGTGTTGAAACCGTTTCGCTGTACACCATCATTAGGGCGAGCGTACACCACAGTGCCTGTCAGAAATTGACGTAAATTGGGTTTAATGCATTGAGGTCTGTAACTGTGTACCGGAGTCGACCCTTTAATTTTTTTAACGAGAGGTTATTTTCGGAGGAAGTCGTAACATTGATTTTTATATATATATGAAAAACACTTGTTACTGACAATAATTTCACTTGTAAGATGAGGAGACGTCGGATTATAAACCGTATCATATTTCCCAGTTGAAGAATGAACACGTGCACACGTCATTGAAACGTTTAAATACTCAAGTTTATTACTTGTAAATATTTGTGATGGATACATGAGCTTTCGTCGGTGTTTACAATTCATATCAAGGTTCTTTGTCGAGTAGTTTGAAACCCCCCGAGCAGGTGAACGAAGTGCAATCCAGTACGCGATTCGGCATACAAGTGTATTAGGGTTAGGTTTGAGAGTTACTTCCCTTGTTAATTCTAATGTAACTTTCTGATTGCTGAAGACTGTGTTTGATGTATTTGTTACATAGTACAGGATATTAACAGTTTTGTGAATCATTTATTGGATGAGAGCTTACACTAGTGGTAGAAAGTTTACACTAGTGTGGCCCTGGAAAAGGTCGTTTGTGTTTGTTAGGCAGAAGAAGAGGAGTGATAACTATGACCATTGAACGCAATCGGGGACCGTCGGTACTTTCCGTAAACGAGAAAGTATTTTCTCCATTTGTCACATCTCGGCAGATTCCGTACCTCCATAAGGGTACCGGAATCAGCCGAGGTTAGCCGATAACGGAAAGTGCCCGCGTTTCTCGATGGCATTGAACAAAGTTGCATGGTTTTCGTTTAAGGATTCATTATACCATTGCCTAAAACTGTAACTGCATGTACGAAATGGATTATTTACCTACATGTCCTTAGCATTTAATGTCTAAAAAAAACCTCATAGTTTGCGAAAATATCATAAAAACAATCAAAATGAAATTGGCAAAACAGAAATCATCAACAGTGTTCCGAGAGTGAAACAAATTTTGCAACGGTGCCGGACCAGGACTCGAACCCTGGACCTCTAATCACAATTTGGTCTATTTTACCAACTGAGCTACATGCATGGTCAATGGAAGTCAACGGTAGTTGTATCCAGATCGGGGTTAAGGGGGAGGTTACTCCGTGAATTATTAACTGTATTTCTGGTGTTTTGGCGGCAGTGGGACAGGGATCTTTAAATGTTAATACGGTGACAATCACATATATCATTGTACAAGTATAGTAGTGTACAGTAGCGTACGGTGGCCATAGGTGATATTTTTGTATAATGAATAAACCCTGTAATATTACATGTATCAAAATTTAAAAAATAAAACAGCACTAAAATTGGCATTTACATGATGAAGTGGTGTATGTGGGCTTCATAATTTTTCAAAACAAAAAGTTGTATTTGGTTTGAAGATACAGTTTTGGCCTTTTACAAATTTGTGTTTACACAATAAAAGCTATTTTGCACACGTATACATTTGGTTAAAAATCCACCGGATTGACCTTTGCTGAAACGTGAGTATTTCTATTATCGAGTAGGTGATATTTCATTTAAGAGAGGATTAAGAAAAAGGAGGGGGTGATGAAGATTCTCGTATTTTTTCCAAGAATCAAATATTGATGCTGTTTTAATCGATGGGCTTGTGAGGATTATTCATTTTCATGTCATTACGAGCAGAGACAAACAAAAAATAATCTTCCAAATTCTTCCCCCACCTCAGATCAAATATTCGCCGCTAAAACTTTTACGGTTGGTCGGGTGGCGCAACGGATATCGCACTCGCCTTGTACCAAGGCGGCCGTCGTTCGATCCCCGATCGGACGTGAAAAGGTATGGGTTCACCTGCCCGACCACGTGGGTTTCCTCCGGGTATTCCAGTTTCCTCCCCAGCGCGCTAACATCCGGGCCAACATGAGTTATTAATATAAGTTGTAACAACTTGTTTAATAATTGTTGTAAAATATATTAAATTTATATATATACCCTATACAAATTGATGCAATGGATGCGCTCACCATCAACGCCAAAATGCGATTTTACCAACCAGAATGCGTTAGGAAACTATTTTCAGTGTAGTCGTTTTCGATGTTTGTGTTTTGATATTAACAAAGATTGAATTTATGTCTTCTACATTTTTCAGCTAAGAAGATTAAACATTTACGTCGCCAGAGGGACCGAACTTTTTATTTTGACTTCAGCGAGATCACTCCGAAAGAGACTGTGGCGAGAGCAGAGCTGCGCCTCTATAAAGAAAAGGCCGGCAAGTGGAAAAAACACAAGTTCCAAGTACAAATCTACATGATTCAGCAGGGCGATAATCCGGAGTAAGTTTCATTCATTCTGTTGACTGTTAAAGATATATTTTAATTATTATAACAATAAAACCTCATTACACTGCCTTCCTTTGTCCTATGAAAGTCAACACATATTATAACAGTAAAACCTCGTTGCACTGCCTTCCTTTGTCCTGTGACAATTTTGGCGTTGTAACGAGATTTTGATGTATATGTAGAAGACAACCGTTATATGTACAAAGTGTAAATGATTTATGAAAGCTAAGACACAGATGTGCCGGCTGGCCGAAGCCGAGATGGTAAATTCGCAAGAGTGGCATTATATCGAAGTTTTACGTATGTGTTACTCTCAGTGAATCGGTATTCGGTAGTTTGTGTGGCTGTGTTATAAACTCCATGCGTCACAACTCGATAGTTTCCGAACCTTCATCAGACAAAGGGTATCGGAATCAGCCGAGGTTAGCCGATTGTGTAGAACTCCAGAAATACCATGGCCGCTTTCGTTTATCGCGATCCAAACGATTGAACCGGTTGGACCAGAGTTGTTCGTTTATGAAATAAGGTCGAACCAAGTAATCTGATGCTGCTTTCAAACGAGCCTTGACCCGAAAAATATTACTTTTAAAACAGACAAACCCGTAGCTCCGCACAAACGAACAAAACCCCAGGTCTCTTTTAAGTTATGCGTTTTGGAATTTGTCGTTTTGATACTATAAGTTTCCGCTAGTACGAATATCCATCATTTTCGAAACACAACGCTTTCTGATCACTATGCTGATTGTAACTTTCTTACCTGTGTTTTCAAGTTGATGACACGGGGTCAAAGGTCAAGAAAATCCGATCCTTTCCGAGCTCCTAGCAGTGGCTTCTGAACAACAAAACATATTAATAAACATCCTAGAATGACGTGTTTCGAACACACAATACTACCTTGTAAGACACGTAAAAGCTTTTGACAGAGTCTGGCATAATGGTTTATTAGTCAAGTTAAAATCATATGGTATCTCAGGAAATTTCCTTTCTTGGATCGAAAACTACTTAAGCAACAGACAACAGAAAGCGCTGATAACTAATTCTTCTTCTGATGCTGGTTTGATATGTGCTGGAATTCCTCAGGGTTCAATTCTTGGACCATTGTTTTTCTTAATTTATATAAATGATATCGCCGAAGTACTAGAATCTACAACACGTCTTTTTGCTGATGATACGTCTTTAAAAAGCTCTTCATCTTCTTGTCTAGATAAACAAACAGTTTTGAATAGGGACCTGGAAGCTTTAAAGAGGTGGGCCAACACCTGGCTTGTTACTTTCAATCCAAATAAGACGGAAGTTATTTTCATATCAAATTCAAATGATATAGATGAAGATCTTGAACTGATTTTTGATGGACATATTTCGAATTTTAACAGTATGCATAGGCACCTTGGAGTTACATTCAATTCAGATGCAAAATGGTCAGATCATGTAAGTGAAATCTATAAATCGGTAATGATTTATTTTTTATTTTTTCGAAAACTCAAAATAAATGTTGAAGCGGGATGCTCTTAAGAATTTACAAAACTTACATATTACCAGTTTTAGAATATGCATGTGAGGTTTGGGATGGTTATACTCTGGTCGATTCTGAAGAGTTAGAGAGGGCTCAACGTGAAGTAGCTAGAATAATTACAGGTTTACCGTCATATGCTAGAAATGAATCATTATATACAGACACTGGTCTTGAATTACTTTCGGATAGAGGAAGAAGACGAAAACTTCAGTTAATCTACAAAATGGATAGGCATCAAACCCCGAAATACCTAACAAATCTACTTCCCACTAAGGTAGGAGAAAACCGACATGCTCTTAGAAATAATGATAACTACAAAATTCCCAATTTCAGACTATCTGCTATTAGTTTATCTTTCTTGCCTTCTTCATTAAAAATGTGGAATACTCTAGACTATAATATTAGATCCATGTCTTTTTCATCGTTCAAATCAGCTCTAGTCTCCAACATACCATATACAGTACCCCCTCATTACCTACGTGGTGACAGAAAACTAAACACGCTTCATACCAGACTACGACACGAATGCAGTCCTCTCAAACATAATCTTTACCGTGCAAACTTGCTTCAAGACTCCAATTGTTTAAATTGTGGCTACCATTGCGAAAATGCCTATCACTTCTTCTTTGAATGTCAACCTTACACAAATGCTCCTACTGTACTTTTTGATCATATAAATCATTTAAATGTACATTTAACGTTGAAATGATTTCTGTTTGGAAATGAAAATCTGGCTTTGGATACAAATTGTGATGTATTCAAATAAGTGCAAACTTTTATTAGATCCAGTGGAAGATTTTAACATGTTTCGATTATGAACTTGACTTTAAAACATGTTTTTGTTTGTTTGTATGTGTATGTGTTAATTTAAAAACCGCTTCATACTACTATGAATTGTAATTGACAGTCTATGTCATCATCTGTTGTTTTGATTTATTGTTGTAAGGAGATGGCTTCATAAGTTGTAATAAGTTGTGCCAAATCCTATTTTCCAATTCTGGTTAATAAAATATGTTTAAAGTCACACAATACTTCCTTGTAAGACACGTATATCAAATAATGACATATACGTTTCTCTTTATCCATTAATCTCTAAAAAGATCTTTTTTTTGTGTCCACTTTCCACAACACTGTTATATTTTACCCTGGCTATATTTTCGCGTTAATTCGTGAGAGGACATATTAGAGAATTTAAACCTTCCGTGAATATGATTTACATGACACTTACTTTAAATTTATTGTCCTCTCAGCCATGAATTCAATCATTCGCGAGTAAACATCAATGTATGGTTCACGAAATCAACAACATTATGTACTTTGAAAACATTGATTTAGCGGATGCATATGTGCCATGAAGAAATGTGGCCTGCTGATGATAGTTTATTAAATTATTTTTTAAACACAAAATACTTGACTATCTTGCCCGTATATGTATACCCGTATATGTATACGTTCAGAAACAACGAACTAATTGTTTCAATGGCCTTCCGAACTAGGGGCGTGGTGCAATTATATCGTGGACCACTTTTAGAAGTGATGCCACGTACCCGAAATAGTGTCTGCTATTTAGAAATATTTCGTTACTCACAAAAGATTGACTTGTAACTATCTGTAATTGGGAATTTTTCGGCCTAATAATGACATTTAATTGAGTTTGAATTCGTATTTTGTACGGAACTGGTCAGACAACACCCAAGTTCGGGGTATCAAACTTCACACTATATTCGCGTGTTCAATGAAACTGAGCCTAGTTTCATGTCGATTAAAATAAAAATTATCTTATCTCTGGTTTAAATCCAGTGTACAATGGAATCATGTGGAATTACATGACATGTGTCCCTCTATGACATGTATACATACAAGTATTGTATGAAGCAAACTATTTTTTAAAGAAAAAAGAACGGGAATGTGCCTTTACTCAAATATATTTGGCCATTTAGCAATTTTTATATACTTGACAGAATGTCAAATATGATTAAAAGTATACTGAACAACAATCTACCCTAAAATCAGCCAAGCGTGACGATGTCATTGTGTGACTGTGAGCTTCTTTAGTCCAAATCACGCGGCGTGATCAAGCCAAGCCGGAGTTTTTCAAACAAATAATCTCAACGGATACTCGAAGTTCAGCCACATTAATTTTCCACGTTGGCATTTTGATTTCGCCATTGACTGAGATGCCACGCTCAACATAAATTCAGAGGGGTAGAGCAATTGCGATGTTGATAGATGGTCATAGCCAAACTGCTGTCGCACGGCAGTTTGGTGTTGGCCCGTGTACAATTAACCGTCTCTGTACACGTTTCCGTGCTACTGGGTTAGTTTCCGATCGTCCCAGGAGCGGTCGTCCGCGTGTAACGACCGTACGACAAGACAGGGCGATTCGATTGTCGCACTTGCGCAACAGATTCAAGACTGCTGTAGAGACTGCGTCGCATACCTTAGGTACTCATGGCAGACCAATTAGTTCTCAAACTGCCAGGAGCCAAATTTCCTGGGGGGGTTCCATGTGGGGGAAAAAATGAGGAAAATGGTGAAAATACATGATTTTTAAAGAAAATTATCAGGGTGGGGAGGTTTCCTGAAGCCCAAAAAACCCCTCTGGATCCGCCACTGAGATCCCCCAATCACATGTCCTTCCACTTCTCAGAGGTCATAACCTAATTTTCCAGCAAGACAATGCTCGACCGCATGTTGCCAGAGTCTGTCGCGATTTTCTGGAATGGATTGGGCATCTGTGGGATGAGCTGGACAGGCGTATTAGGAAAGGCCAAAACCCCAACTAACCGCGCCCAGTTGATCGCAGCATTAACACAAGCATGGAACAACATTCCCTTAAGGCGAATAAATGTTCTCATGAATTCAATGCATAGGAGAATCCGTGCAGGGATTCGTGCAAACGGTGCCTACACCAGGTACTGAAGTGTCATTTTGTTTTTCGCGGGTATCCCACTTTGAGTAACTACTGATGACACGGGTGCCGTCACACAGACTTTTCTTCTACAGTATTGTAAAGAGTAGACTTGTCGCTTCATATTGATATAAAATTTTGTACAAATTTCCCAAAATATCATAGGCTATTGATTGCATAATTTAATTGTGCGTTTCTTTTTTTGTTCAGTATATTTTCAAATGAAAGAAACGGAAAATAATAAGATTCGTCTCCTACATATTTGTTATTCTGTCAGTCATTTGATCGGAAAGTGGACATTTTTTCGAGCAGGAAATATTTCGCACTGTCTCATGCACATTTTTATGCGGGTAGAATATCCTGAACTTTTTTTCTACCATAAACCATTTTACACTGTCTCCTGTACATTTGTTCTGTCAATCATTCGACCAGGAAACATTTCACTCTGTCTTCTGCACATTGTTGTATCTGCAAACGAAAAAGATAAACAACAAGAAATCAAAATCTAAATAATGATAAATTTATTTAGAGGTTCTTACGCGGTAACCTTCAGAACATATAATCATAACATTCATCATGTTGACGTTAGCATTGCTGTTAATGTCTAACAAACAGAAGGAAACGATAAAGAAACAAAATTATTTTTGTATCCAAACGGAAAGTTTTGTAAAGTATTTACCGTACTTTATGTAAATGTCAGTGAGGTACATGTACCTGATTTGCTGTCCGCACAAACGAGATTTGCATACCGTTATATTTAGTCATAGCTTGTCTATAACATCTGTTATGTTGACGTAAGATATGATGTTCATGCATTGTATACTACATACAAGGGGGATATAACGAGGAAACTGTAAATTTGTATCCAGATGGTCTATTCCGTTAAGAAAAGAAAACTTCGAGATTTTAAAACAAAAACCGCATTTCATGTAAAAGCCTCAAAGTTTATCTATTTTACCTACCTACCACTCAAGAGATTTGCGTTCTGGTATATATATATATATATATTTACAGCATGACTGTAGCTCATATTAGTTTGACGTCAGCATTTATGTAAATATCCACAAACACGGAGAAATGATAGGGAAAAAGTCTTTTTGTATTCAGACGGTTTGTTGTCTCGCCGCAACGATGTGGAAGCGAGACTTAGATGTTGCTTTCCGGTGACGGCGGCGTCAACATCACGTTTTTGTGTTTAAGTTAGTTTCTCTGAAAGTATAAGTGCTACACCAACCAAACATGGACCATAGATGCATCTGAGGTAGTACATATCAACTAATGCATCAAGTGCTGGATGCGACGTACCTTTCATGGTCCATTGTCTTTGTCAGTATTTCCATCAACAGTAAGTCTTTTCGTTTAACTTAGTTTCTCTGATATGTGCAATGATTGTCAAAACGGGGCATAGGCGATACATATCAATCTGGTTGGCTTATTTTGTTAGGAAATAACCTTCGAAATTCAACAATATTTACCGTATAACATGAACACGTCAAACACTTATCAATTTTACCTGTCTGCTAATGACATTGTTTGTACACGTGTTACCTGTCTGTTTAACTGACGTTTCCTTGTCTCTTCAGGAACTACCAGATAGTGACGGAGAGCAATCTCACAGTGAGGGCTAACTACCAAGGATGGTTGACCTTTAACCTTACGAATGCAGCCTCGCATTGGACGTATTCTCCCACCACCAATATGGGCCTGTTTATGAAAATTATATTCTTAAAAAAAAGTGAGTGTTTACTAAAAGAAAATTGACCGAAATACCCGTCGTTAGCTTAGGATGTACACTACTTTATTAGTGTGTTTTTAATATCTCAAGAAATAAATAAGATTGTATGCAATTAAGTTATGGTTTCATATGCAATCAGAAGTCTTCCTTTCCCCGGATTAACGCTCTCGAGAAATGCGAGACTTGTATAACCAGCAGAGTAAACCGTCCAGAAGAAGTTGTCCTTTCGCGACTGCGCATTGGCCTTACATATTTCATCAGCAGAGCGAACCGTCGATAAGAAGTTGGCCTTTCGCGACTGCGCATTGGCCTTACCTTTATTTCATCAGCAGAGCGAACCGTCGAGAAGAAGTTGTCCTTTCACGACTGTGCATTGGCCTTACCTACATTTCATCAGCAGAGAACCGTCGAGAAGAAGTTGTCCTTTCGCGACTGTGCATTGGCCTTACTTACATTTCATCAGCAGAGCAAACCGTCGATAAGAAGTTGGCCTTTCGCGACTGCGCATTGGCCTTACCTTTATTTCATCAGCAGAGCGAACCGTCGAGAAGAAGTTGTCCTTTCACGACTGTGCATTGGCCTTACCTACATTTCATCAGCAGAGCAAACCGCCGAGAGGAAGTAGTCCTTTCGTGACTGCGCATAACAGACCATAACTACATAACATTTACATTTTACAGAGATAAACCCTACTATCATACTTGCACTTATCTTTTACACCCACAAAAATAATAATGAATCGAATGTGCCAATTTTAAATAAACGCGTGACAAATATTGTGTCTATGATTACTAACATTCATTAGATTTAACCATAAAATTTGACAAATCATATTATGCAACCAGTTGGTTTATTGCAAATATATTTTTTGCATTTTGCACTTAACTTAAATATTTATATTGATTTTATAACAATATTTTCCTTTTTAGATCGGGATGTTAAACCGGAAAAGTTCGGAATCGTAGGTCGAAAGGGACCTGAGTACAAACAACCATTTATGGTTGGTTACTTCCGGTCTACACCGGAACTGCATGTCCGGAAGACTCGTGCTGCCGTCAGGCGGAGGATGAAGGAAAGTGCCTACGCCAATGACGACGAGGAGGAGCAATACTCTTATACCAAGGCATTACGTAGTACGTGTTGTATTATTTTGATATCTTGAAAGTAGGAAACTAAATTTTTACAAATGATTTGTTGGTTTGTTTCATTCCAGTGATTTTAAATCTTCAGACAGCTTATGTCATTTAAACCAGATGGAAATATAATTTAACTAACCTTGCATATCGTTTTGATGTTTGGGAGAGATATGTATTTCAAATAAAGTTTACGCAATAAGAATGAAAAATCCCAAGTCGACTGAAATAACCTTGTTCGAGCCATCGTTCCAGATGTTTGTTTTCATAATTAGACACTGCCTTTTCCAAATTTCCGGGACGTTCTAGTTTTACCCCGCCTCTGCGCTCCTCGGAGTACGGATAGGTACCTGGGATGATGTACTATCGAGTTTCCTCATTAAAATGACATTGACCTTCTTTCAAGGTCACAGGGGTAAAATATGTCGAAAACCTCAAACAACAATATCCTAAGAACCATTTGGGGAGTCATGCTACTTCGGTATGTAATGTAGACCAGCTGTGTGAATCTTTGTTTTTATTACAGTAATGAGGTCAAAGGTCAACTTTAAGTGCTAACCAGAGTCGAAGGCCATCGTTGGTTAAAAGCTTTAAAATAAAAATTTCAAAATTTCAAAAAACAATATCTACATATTAAAATGTCTTGTGTTCTAGTACCAAATTTTGTCTGAAATTACCTATATGTCAGTTTCATGTACAAAACAAACAGGTGAGCGATACTGGCCCTCTGGACCTCTTGCGTTTATTTATTCAAATTGACATCCTTAATTTGTAGAAGTTTACTCGATATTTCGTTCTTTTTTCATTGATTAATTTGCAATATATAAACCAATCCAATTCAAAATATTTTGTCCATGATATCGGTACTTTACAACGGGGAAGAGGGTCTCGGGGAATAGGGTCTCTATTTATTTCCTAGTATATGTCTTGGTATATGGCAGCGATAAGAAAATAATTCCACTCAACATAAATGACGATACTTTCACTTTGGCAGGAACTCCAAGGAGAGCGCCCCGACAGTGGCCATGCCAGAGGCGAACACTATATATGAAGTTCCGGGACCTCGGATGGCAGGTAAGTTTATTCTAAATCTGAAACCAACAGAAAAAATGAATTCCGTTATTTCTTTGGTGTGGTGAGTCTGGTGATAACTTATTTAACTGGTATAGACTAAATCTCATTGGTCAGGCCAGTATAATGCGAAAACCTGTTCTCTCCAGGAACCAGGCAATATTATTTACGTGAAGATCAAAACTACATAATTCCGGAACAATATTTTTTCAGGACTTTCTCTTGAAACCAAAGCGCAAAGGATTCACTTTAAGTCATATTTTATTATAACACTACTAACACAACATTTTATTTACAAATAAACACATAAATATTGTTTTTTGAGCTGTGACATTCTTGCTGAAGAAAGTTAATATTCTCGTTGTAGAACTGGATTATCGCCCCTGATGGATTCAAGGCATTTTATTGTGATGGGGAGTGTTCTTTTCCACTTGGAGCCCATATGAACGCAACGAATCACGCAATTATACAAACACTGGTGCACCTGATGACCCCCTACAAGGCCCCAAGTCCTGGATGTGCTCCAACCAAACTCGGATCCCAATCAGTGCTTTACTTTGATCATAATTATAATGTAGTTTTGAAGCGTTTTCCTGATATGATTGTCAAGTCCTGTGGTTGCCATTAGTTAAATTGTTTCTCATGCCATTTACTGGCTGTGTTGGCTTCACCTACTTAATGGCAGGATGTTGTCCATTAAAAGCCAATCGAAAAGCATTGTGAAGTCACATGACTGCCGTTGACCAATGAACGTTTTTGTTACATTAAATATGTGAACTGGTAGATCAAATGACCTTATGAGTTATAGTGTTCATGTGATGTCCAAACTGACCAATCAAATGTTTGATGAACTGTTCATCTGTTTGCCAGTATTGGATGAAGCCAATCGAAATCGAATATTTTCAATTATACCGACTTATACTGACGTCTTATAATCTATATGATTTATACGAATTTTCGTGGCAAGCTCCCTCATCAGCCGTGTAAAAAACTATACAGGAAGGAGAAATATCACTTCCGGTTTTGCAATCTCTTAGAGGAAACGCTTGCTCCAGTGTAGGTCAAAGATTGGCGGGACGGCGTAAAACAAGAGTGTTTTTTTTTTTTTATCCAATATTTTGTCAGGCAGGTTACTTTACCACCGGACCAATCCACAGTCATTTTGGAACTATGTGGACCACCGATTTTCTGACGTCATCTTTTGATATGCGTCATTGTTCAATACATGGTTGTGACACAGGGGTCTGTGGTGATCTATATTTCGAGATAATTTGAATAGGTTATATACTGTTTAAATACTGAAAAATATGGTCACGTTTAATTTTCGTGGTTATTTATAGACGCATTTGAATCATCACAGACTCCCTGTAACTGCATGTAAAATATTTGTATATAGGTTAACCAGAATTGTTAGATCTGATTATAATATTTTGTAAGTAATGAAAAACTATGCAATGCCATTTTGGGTTAAGTAACTTTGTGAACAAACGAGGCCATACTGTTAACAAGAAGTTATGTATTTGTGTAGTTTGAAATGTTTATTATATGGTATAAGTATTGTTTCATCTAGATCCATCCGGTTGTCTTAAACAATTAACATTGGAAATGTTTTTGCTCCTGTTCCTCAAACCAAAGATATCTGAAAGACTGTCTCCCTTTACTCTTATTGTGTCATTCGGGACCTCGGTTGATTGTCATTGGACAATCGGGAACCTTCGGCACTTTCCGTAAACGAGACGGAAAGAGCCGACGGTTCCCGATTGGTCATTGGATGTTGTTGGTAATCTCAACACACTCGCTACATTTCCATTAATTGAAATTAGGCTGGTTTATCTGCATTGGTACCGTTTCTTGTCACTAGATTGCTCTCTTAGATACTCCGAAAAAACAAAAAGTTAAAATAGGCAATCTAGTGCAGAAATGAAGTGTGCACCAACTGTAAATTATAAAATGGAACAACAGAGGTGTTTTGAGTGCATGTTTGTACAACTGAACATATCATAATAAGGAAATAATTAAAAATTTGGAACAGGTTATAAGGGGCTAGGAATGATTGTCTGAAAATAACAAGAACAACTTTTAAAGTTATTGAGAAATCTATAGTGTACTTTTTCTATAACAAGACTGTATTGCATGTTTAGAAATTAAAGAATATTTCTGTTTCCTCAAATGTGAAAGATTAAACAACATGATTTTATGTTTGGTCTGCTAAAGTTACTCTTCGATTGTACCGGTTAATACCGGTTCATTGGCGCAGTCGAAGGATATTTATTTGCTCGGATCTTATAGAATAAACATGTTCTCATCATACAAGTCTTTCTCTGAACATAACACACTCTAACACTTAAATGACGTCGGACAAAAACGGAGCATACCAGATATCAAGAGCCTGACTGAACGACACGTGCATTAGGTAAACACGTGCCAAATGCACGTGTATGTACGATTGGTTTATGTTGTGATACACAAATCCTGGCGACGTCTTAGATTTTAGTCCTACAAAGCCTTGCAAGCTTACGACTCTGGTAGCAATTTAAATGGCGTATCTTTTAAATATCGTGGGATATAATAACTATAACTACAGAAACTATAATAAATAAGTGTCGTAAATAAGATAATTATCTGTATACACAGTTTACACACACTAGTTACAGAACGAATGTCAATATTTTTGAAAATATCTCCGATTTTCAGTTGTATGTTTTTGTGTGTAAAGCTGGTCATACTTAGTTTCAACTCTGCCCTTTGATGATGCAGTGACGTCACTGTTTCCTTTATATTTTATTTACGATCCAACATACACCATATCAGTCATTGAATATGTTCACGTAATGTAAGTAAATTGAGTAGTCCGATTGTGGAATATGTTTGCTGTCATATATAGCTAGTAATGGAGGGGTTTACTGGAAATGGAATGGAACGAATTTATATTACATACCCACCAAGATATGTCATATCTCCCACCCCTACATGCTGATAGGCATGTTAATAGGCATGCTACATTTACACTCACAGGCCAGTCTGCATTAAGAATCGATAATTATAACTTAAATTTGGCTTGGAGATTTACAGTCGACATAACGAAAAGGTTAATAGAAGGTATGATAATAATCGTTTTGAATGACAAATCAATATCGCTAACAATGGTACAGGGAATGTGTGTTGGAAGAAAGTCCTTGTTTAGCGAAGACGGAAAATACACTTTACGCATTGCATATTGGTATTGATCATTAAGTAAGTGGCGGTTGTATACAAAGGTGTGACATTTGAGCTATGGTATAAGCTATTATGCACTTATAATTTTAATGTTTTCTCATCTTTGGAGGAAGAAAAGATGTATATATTTATTTTTTCTAATCTTATGAATATTTTTGCATGTTTATATGTCCGTTCACGAATAAAGTGCTAATATTGAACACATTGTTCCGTCTGTTATGTGTCTGATCCACACTTGACTTATTTTTGTACCTCATCTTTATAACAGCGTAACTGATTGGAATATACTGGTCACAAAACTTGTCTGTCTCACGCGCTCGAGTTTCCCCGATCATATAACCCTTATTCGGAGCCACCATAACCTGGTTTCGAATGACGGAAGCACGTGACAACAATGGCGCGGACTTAAAATTGTTTTTGCTGTGGTTCTTCTTCTTTAACCACACGGTTTCCGGTTTTCAGCACTGGTGCACATGTGAATAACACGATTCCATTTGCCGCAGTGGCCTATGATTTGATTTACTAAATAAGACATGTTTGGGTGTACGCCAAGGTGATGACAACATTACCGGTCTTAAATGATTTGCTCCAAATAGGTATGCAATTGTATAATGGCATTGTTACTACATAGACAGTTTGTGGGGCTTATATAACGGTTTCTGTGACAATAAGAACCTGTTTATATTACCTGTATATTTTCTTACTAGCTCACCTGGTCCGAAGGACCAAGGTGAGCTTATGCCATACCGTGGCGTCCGTCCGTACGTCAACAATTTCTTTGAACGACTTCTTCTTAACCAATGGGGGGCAAATGGGGGCAATTTGGCTATATTGCTTTAAGTGACTTCTTCTCCGTAACTGAGAGATGGAATGGATATCAATCATATTTGACTGGAAGCATTCCTAGGTGGTGGGGATTCAAAATTGTAAAAATGGTGAGGCTGACCCCCCAGAGGGCTGAGGGGTGGGGCCAAAACGGGTCAATTTGGCTATATTGCTATAAACAACTTCTTCTGTAGAACTGTGCCATGGATATAGATCATATTTAGTCAGAAGCATTCATGGGAGGCAGGGATTCAAAATTGTACAAATGGTTGGGCTGACCCCCCAGGGGGCTGGAGGGTGGGGCCAATTTGCTAATATTGCTTTAAGCGACTTCTTCTCTGGAACTAAGAGATGGATATAAATCATATTTGACTGGAAGCATCCCTTGGTGGTGGGGATTCAAAATTGTACAAATGGTAGGGCTGACCCCCAGAGGGCTGAGGGGTGGGGCCGAAAGGGGTCAATTTGGCTATATTGCTATAAACGACTTCTTCTGTAGAACTGTACCATGGATATTGATCATATTTAGTCAGAAGCATTCATGGGAGGCAGGGATTCAAAATTGTACAAATGGTTGGGCTGACCCCCCAGGGGGCTGGAGGGTGGGGCCAATTTGCTAATATTGCTTTAAGCGACTTCTTCTCTGGAACTAAGAGATGGATATCAATCATATTTGACTGGAAGCATCCCTTGGTGGTGGGGATTCAAAATTGTACAAATGGTAGGGCTGACCCCCAGAGGGCTGAGGGGTGGGCCGAAAGGGGGCAATTTTTCTATTTTGTATTAAACGACTTCTTCTCTGGAACTAAGAGATGGATATAAATCATATTTGACTGGAAGCATCCCTTGGTGGTGGGGATTCAAAATTGTACAAATGGTAGGGCTGACCCCCAGAGGGCTGAGGGGTGGGCCGAAAGGGGGCAATTTTTCTATATTGTATTAAACGACTTCTTCTCTGGAACTAAGAGATGGATATAAATCATATTTGACTGGAAGCATCCCTTGGTGGTGGGGATTCAAAATTGTACAAATGGTAGGGCTGACCCCCAGAGGGCTGAGGGGTGGGCCGAAAGGGGGCAATTTAGCTATATTGTATTAAACGACTTGTTCTCTGGAACTAAGAGATGGATATCAATCATATTTGACTGGAAGCATCCCTTGGTGGTGGGGATTCAAAATTGTACAAATGGTGGGACTGACCCCCAGGGGGCTGAGTGGCGGGGGCAAAACGGGGCAATTTGGCTATATTGCTATAAACGACTTCTTTTGTAGACCTGTGCCATGGATATTGATCATATTGGCCCCACCCTTGGAGACATAGTCTCTGGGTCATAACTTTAAAACGGTTGAGATCCCCACCCCAAAACTATAAATACAAATGCTGGGCATAAAGAGACAAATGCAGTCATGATATTAGAATTGATCCTGGGGTCTGGCCACAACCCTATGGACCTAGTGTCCGAGTCACAGCTTGGAAACAGTTGAGATCCACACCCCATAACCATATATACAATTGCTGGGCATGGAAAATCTAATACAGATATCTACAAGGATTGGCCTTGGGGTCTGGCATATTCCCTTGGATCCCATTTGGAGAATATTTTGCCATGATTGCTCATATATCAAGATTAGCGATACAGGCCCTCTGGGCCTCTTGTTTAAATACCGTTGCTGTAAAGGATTTCTGTCCCACTGCAGGCTATACACCAGATAATTTAACGGTAGTTATTCGCACATACATTAACCTGCGCGTATTTCGGATTGGAGTATATCTGAAGCACCCACTGATCATGTATTCATTCGTAGTCCAGTGTTCGAATCCTTGCCCCGTTACATTTTAACACTCGTAACAAGTTTTCATGAAAGGGAAATAGCGTATGGTTTTCTTATTGACGCGGGAAGGTTTCCATTGCATGGCAGTGGTACGGGGATCCTTACATGTGACTCTAGTCCGATAGGGACTGTACAAAACATCCCGCAGCCTTCTTCAGGACAGTATCTACTGTTATGTCAAAAATGCACGAGTGATACAGGACACATATTACGTCGGAGACAGTCAGTTTGGTTTCTCCTCGTTTCCTGTTGTGTTTACGTGTCAATTTTCAGTAACGATTCTGTACTTGTGCGTCGAAGTTGTCGAATATTTTGTCCTAGTGTGTTGACTCTTTTCTATATTTACCCTTGTGTGTGTTGACGCTGTGTTCTATATTTTGTTAGAGCAAATCCATTTTGGGGGTATGCTTAGTCTGTTCAGCTGGATATCTTTGAACTTTTCCGAATTATTCTGAAAATCAATTCAGTGTAAATTCTATATCTGCCAAGTACTCTTATCGTCTGTGTCGGAATGACCGCATATAGTCCGTTTGTTCACACTAAACGCCATTATACCAAACAGAGTTATGAAAATTTTGGATGTATCGGGATCGACCTGCCACGTTAACACCTTGGTATTGTGTACAGAAAGTAGAAAAATGTTCATTTAACCGATTTGCCTCTCGCTCCCCGCTTTGATGGGAATGTCGGTAAACTCTTCGTTAATTCAAGGAAACCAAACCAAACTCAAAGGAACGGAAAAGAAAATTATAGGTTACAATGACTTACATTTGATATAATATTGGTGTATAATACTTCTCACGATGTCTACATAATATGCTATTTGATGACTAAGGCTTATAGTATAAGAGAAATGGATCTTACAGAAATATGAAAGAGGCGTGTACAATGCAGGTATAGGTCATGCTGAAATATATTTGATATATTGAATAAGTTCACCTCAATGTAAACATGTATGAATTGTAATGACTACTTGACTTCAAACAGTACTAATAAAGAATCTTTATTTAACGTCGTGTACAATTATCAACAAGNACAATGACTTACATTTGATATAATATTGGTGTATAATACTTCTCACCATGTCTACACAATATGCTATTTGATGACTGTAAGGCTTAAAGTATAAGAGAAATGGATCTAACAGAAATATGAAAGAGGCGTGTACAATGTAGGTAAAGGTCATGCTGAAATATATTTGATATATTGAATCAGAGGGATAACAACTAACCCTATCAGACATCGCTCTCTTTTCGCCACCACTGGGGATCGTACCGAAAATCTTTGGAGAGCGAGTGGTCTGAAGCTCACGCTTGATTGCAGTAGAGTTATGGAACTGAGTTATGAAACTAAACGCAATGTCTATCCAATATATTGAACAGACGAGAAAATATACACTTAAACCTCTCTTTTAGCGTTTTGTTGGGATTAAACCCATCGAGAACGCTTACAAATTACTACTTGACGACAAACAGCAAATGTAAAACTGTAACGAGCAGTGCACAGTGTTAATTATGCGGTTTTCCTAGCTCTATATTAAGATAATTCAACTTCACTTCGACAAGTTGAATGATTCTACTGTACACCTACACATTAATGGTAGCCCGAGTTTCCTCTGGCCCTGACACCAGGCTTGGATATTTTGACAGATAGATGTCCCACACCAGACATCTATCTGTCATAATGTCTAAGTCTGGTGTCAGGGCTATAGAAATGGTAGACACTATTCACAAAACAAGAAACTTACATTGAATAAATAAATAAATAACAAATCACGTGTGTGGCTGGAGTCGTCACGTGATGATGACGAAACACGTATGTGAATCCGATGTTCAGAACCACAAGCTCACTCCCAAAATATTAATAATTTCTAGTAAGAATGTAAGATGTGACCATGATATGGTTTGAAGCCGAGGTCCAACATATTCACATAGCTATTGACATCTAGTCAGAGAATAATACTATAAAAGAAGAGCACATCCGAAGAATATGGTTTAGGGAGGTTATTAAGATATGTCGTTTGTCGCTGTGAGACCGTTTGGAAACTTTGGAGAGTAAAGTTCCCCGTACCACTACGCAAAGGAAACTGATTTTCAGACATGACTATAGATTTGATAAAACATTTCTAAAAGAAAACTATAACTTGCGGGACTTTTATAAGAAATGATAAAGACGAAACCAACAAAACACGATCAACAACAATAGTGTCCTGAGAGTAAAATTTAAGCGTGACCAGACCCAGATTCGAACTCTGTACTCCAGATTGATATACTCACGCTCCAATGAGTCGTAAAGCTCTCGAAAATTAAAAAAAACCTGAACTGAAACCGATTGTTTGACCTGGTCAACCGATGCGTCGTGGTCAAATTGATCTAGTTTAATCTAAACGGAAATTAAGGGGAGGTTACTGCGTAAACGAAAAAAACCCACAGTGCACTGGGACAGGATTTTATCTAAACGGAAGTTAAGGGGAGGTTACTGTGTAAACGAAAAATCACGGTGCAATGGGGCAGGGATCCTCAAGGAAGTTAAGGGGAGGAAACTGTTTATACGAAAAACCACAGTACAGTGGGGACAGGGATCCTTAAGGAAGTTAAGGGGACGTTACTGTGTATACGAAAAACCACAGAACAGTGGGATAGGGAGCCTTTAGGAAGTTCAGAGGACGTTACTGTGTATACGAAAAAACACAATACAGTAGGACAGGTATCATTAAGGAAGTTAATGTTAGGTTACTGTGTATACGAAAAAACACAGTACAGTGGGACAGGGATCCTTAAAGAGGTTAAGGGGAGGTTACTGTGTATACGAAAGTCCAAAGTACAGTGGGACAGGGATCATTTAAGGAAGTTAAGGGGAGGCTACAGTGTATACGAAAAACCACAGTACAGTGGGACAGGGATCATTAAGGAAGTTAAGGGGAGGTTACTGTGTATACGAAAATCACAGTACAGTGGGACAAGGATCCTTAAACATTAATACATATGAACAGACAGACATGTGTAGCTATAATCACGTCCCAAACTGTAAGGTCATGGTGTTGGCTATTACTGGAAAATCTTGTTCCGCCTGGCCCTTATTTTTCAAATTTCGGAAAGAAATTTTCGCACGTTTGATTATACAATAATCGTCTGTGCACACTTTGTATCGCCCTTTCTTAGCCAATAACTCTTACGGTTCATTAAATATTGAACTTCACACAAGAGAGAGGAACTCTTGTGAGTTTGAAATCGACCAAGGTCATTTGATTTAACAAACTTCATTTTCTTCTACCCAAGCAACTCAAGGTTTTTATAATGCGTAGAAGATGTGACAAGGAAAAGTTGTTGATGCCATCACATAAGCTCTTATAGGCACGTAAAAATAGGTCAGATAAAACAGAAACAACAATAAATGATCTCGTGATCAGTGACGACCCGTCCTGATAGGACTCTCGCTGTTGCGAGTACGTTAACCCCAAACAAACAACCTCAATTTTAGTTTCAACTTTTCTGATGTTTTTTATCCTCAAATATATAACAAACTCATGCTCGTCACTCAAGGGGTTACGCTCACTCACGCTCTCCGAGTGCACCTCTGAAATATATCATTCGCATTGTTGATACAGGTAGGGGTACAGGGGCAGGTATCTCATATTCAACATGTCAATTTTACTAGCCTCGTGCCTTTGGTTATGTCACGACAGTGTAGTCTTGCTGTAAATGTAAGTGAGCGTAATCCCTTGAATGTTGAAGATGATGAAAATACGTTTTGGAGATCTGACGCAATATTTGGGGTCGAACCCATGTCTACCAGCCGACAAAGTGATTCAAGCGCAGTCAGACACTCCGAGTGTGACGGATCGATGTTGAGTCTGATGGTCCTTAGCTTCCAGATTTGATCGTATATAACCTACCACTTGACAGTTATCAGAGGTTGAGACGATAATGACAGTAGATAAACCGTGCATGTGATGGTATGTACCCGATACACCTGTCCGTCGCGTCATGGGATTGATCTAACACAAGTATCGGAATATGCTTTGTATATATCAAACATTATATAGTTTAAGCATGGGATAAATGATCTGATAACCTAATTTATGATACTACGATGCAATCGCTTACTGTCTCAATGGCGACGAGCATGGAAGACCCAATAGAAAAGAGGGTAAGTATAGTATATGTCTCGTATTTATATATATATATTCCACCTAAACATCACTTGACATATTTCAACAGATGGACAGGTCATATTGTAGTCGGTGACGATGTATTCCAATAGCTCACCTCCCGCGATTGTTGTGGATAAACAATTATTGTGTTTACATACAATACTGGCGTTAGACAATACCGTCACTATGTTAAAATGAGGCTCCATACCAAACGACTGTTGTATAGTGTACATATCATATTTTTTTAGTCGAGTTATATATTAAGAATAAAACTAAATCAAGCTTGTTTCGAAGATCCCACATTTTGGCCAAAAGGTGTCCACGTTCGAGAGTGGTTGCCCAGAACTGTCTTCCAGAACCAACATGATGACACCGAATAACTTTAACTTCATGTGTTGGAACATAGAAGGTATTATGGCCGGTATGCCCTACCTTCTAGATTGCTTTCATAAATATGACGTTGATGTATGTGGTATCTCTGAGCATTGGGTCAGGGAATGCAATATTTCGTTTTTTGAATCTTTTAAAAACACTGGTTACTCGTGTTTCGTTAAACCTGTCAACGAAATCGATCCTTTTCGCTATAGATGCAACATTAGAGGTGGTGTTTGTATGTTATTCAAAGAGAATTTGAGAGTACAAGAAATTATTGTCGATAGTCCAAGAATCTTAGGTCTTGAAGTTCAAATGCTAAATAATGAGTACCTTTACGTTTTCTCCGTTTATATGCCTGCGACCTCCAGGTCGATTGATGTTTTGTTAGATCAAATAGATATTTTAGAATCTGTGGTTTCTGTATATTCCGAGAAGGG